ACGTGGCACTGTACCAACTCGGAAATGCATGCAAAGGGTGGGTGGGGAGGGAAAACACTGTTGCTTACGTGGCACTGCTGATGTGGCACTGCTGACGTGGCACTGTTGCTGACGTGGCACTGTTGCTTCCGTGGCACTGCTGATGTGGCACTGCTGACGTGGCACTGTGACCGACGTGGCACTGCTGATGTGGCACTGCTGACGTGGCACTGCTGCTGTGGCACTGTTGCTGATGTGGCACTGCTGACGTGGCACTGTACCAACTCGGAAATGCATGCAAAGGGTGGGTGGGGAGGGAAAACGCAGGTAGGGGACCAACCCAACAATACTCTCCTCCCGGCCCTAATCAACAGATAAAATAAAAAATAAAAAAATAAAAGAGGACTACTTCCTTCTTTTCTTTTTTCTTTTTCTTTTTTTTGTATATCTGTCGATCTGTTATGAGTGAGACATGTCAGGAGAGTACTATGAACAAGCTCTAGGCTAGGTTCCGCAAAGTTTCGGTTTTCACAAAATGCGATATTGAAAAAAAATTTGTGAGGTAGAATAGAGATGCGATTTTCAGAAAAGAACTAAATCCCGTTTCTGAAAATATGGCAACCTCCGAATATGCCTATCGAAATGTTGGTAGGCATCGCAAGATTTCAGTTTTCAAAAAAAATTTGCGAGATAGAATGGAAATTCGATTTTCAGAAAAGGATAATTCCAGTTTCCGAGAATATGACCACTTCTATCGTTATCCCAATATGCCTAGAGAACGAAATACTAACATCAGAAATTTTCAGCTATGTATGCGAAATATCAGAGAAACGAAATGCTACTACCGGGAATTTTCAGACAAAACGAAATGCGATTTATCAGAAATTTTCAGATATTTGTTACGTAAAAACGAAATACTAATATCAGAAATTTCCAGGTAAAACGAAATGCGAATATCAGAATTTCAGGTAGTTGTTGCGAGAAAAAAAATTTCAGAGATTTGACGAAGTCCTACTTGATTTACTAACGAGTAATCAATAGATCAAGCAAGCTGGCTATTTGATTGAGCGGGTCCTCTGAATGAGAGGTCCGCTCCGATACCAAACTGTTGCATACTGTAACGGTGCAGACCAGAACAAGAACCGACCTCTCAATACAAAGTACAAGATAGCACAGCGGAAGACTTAGATACCAGTGATCCGAACAATCAATATTGCAATGCAGCCCTGAACATACATCATCATCACCGTTACATGGTGTGAATGGGGTCTGGCGCTTCACACAGAAGACTGCGCCAGCCCCTACCATACACAGACGAAGAAGGAGAGGTTAGACGAAGTGGAGGGGAAGATGGGAATGTCGTCAACACCAAGTCTTCGGCACAGGCCCAAATAGTCCCTCGTCGAAATGTCTGAATCCCAAATGTCAAGTCTGGATCCAATGTCGTCAAGTCTCAAGTCACAACTCTCTCTCTGTAGTAGTCCGCTGATACTGAGAAGTCAGGTGGTGAGAGGGGAAGAAGAGATGGTGGACTTAGAAGAAGAGGAAG